ATCAGCAATGCCTGACCTGCCCTCTACTGTCTGCTTTTATACAGGAGAGGCTTGTAAAAATATTTCATCCCAGCTGATGAGAATTGCTCCTGGATATTGAGCAACCTCGTAATTCTATTAATATTAATGATTTTTTTTTATTTTCTGAGGGTGTAAAAGAAAAAAGTGCTTTTGGAAACTGTTTCTGTTGGGGTTGCACACCCAATTCTGTGAGGATTTAGGTTTACACACACAATTGTGGGGTTGTACACCTAATTCTGTGAAGATTTAGGTTTACACACACAATTGTGGGGTTGCACACCTAATTCTGTGAGGATTTGGGGTTGCACATCCAATTCTGTGAGGATTTGAGGTGGCACACCAAATTCTGTGAGGATTTGGGATTAATTCTGTGAGGATTTGAGGTGGCACACCAAATTCTGTGAGGATTTGGGGTTGCACATCCAATTCTGTGAGGATTTGGGATTAATTCTGTGAGGATTTGAGGTGGCACACCAAATTCTGTGAGGATTTGGGATTAATTCTGTGAGGATTTGAGGTTGCACATCCAATTCTGTGAGGATTTGGGATTAATTCTGTGAGGATTCGGACTGCACACCCAATTCTGTGAGGACTTGGGGTTGCACATCCAATTCTGTGAGGATTTGGGATTAGTTCTGTGAGGATTTAGGGTTGCACACCCAATTCTTGGGAACCCCTGTGCCTGAGTTTGACTCAGGATGATGAATTTCTGCATTCATTTCTCTTCACCACAGACTTGGCTTTTTCAAACACCATCCTGCAATTTGGGAGATGAAATAGTAAAAAAAAAAAAAGGATTTTTATGTAGCAGGAGATAAAATACACTGAGAGAAATGGTCTGAGGAAAGAGGATGGGCATTTCCCCACTGCAGACATCACTTGATGCAGAGCATTGTTGTTGGTCATAACTTTGCAGAGAATGAAGGGAGCAGAGGGGTTCCCTGGGGAAAGGTGTGGCTCAAACTCAGTTTTGGGCATTTGGGAGCTGATTTCCAAACAGCACTGCAGGCTGTGGGGGCCAGAGACCAGAGCTCATCAGGCATTTTTCACTTGGAGGAATTAATGTTGTCAGTTCTGAATTGCAGTGCAAGAGATTTGCAGAATTCCTCTCTCAAATTTCTAAATCTATTTTGAGTGTGAATTCTAAAAGCTGTTGCATCCAGTTATGGGAGATATTTATGAGAGAGCTGAAAAATGCATATATTTAAATTTTCAAACACTGTTTTTCATCTTTATTGAACCACCTTTGTCCATGGTAAGCTGTCATGCTTCTTTGTGTTCCTTTTTCCCCTCAGAGAATGGAAACCCAGCAGTCCCAGGAAAAGTCAATAAAGCTTCCAGCAGCACCAAGAGATCCATTGCAGACAGCGAGGACAAGTCTGAGGCTTACAAATCTATTTTTACAACTCACAGCTCAGCGAAACGTTCCAAGGAGGAGTGTTCCAACTGGGTTACTCACACAGCTTACTATTTCTGAAACCATGAGGAGCACCCTGCCTCCTTCCCTCCTTCCCTCCTTCCCCATGGCTCCCTCTGTGCAGAACTTTTGTGCTCCAATTCCTCTTTGTGAGCTGGTTATAAACCTGGTCATAGCTGGAGAACCTGTGTCAGCTGCAGCTCCTGGGGAATGTGAAGCAGACCAGCAGAATCCATGCTGCAGCAGCAGATTTCATTCTGAAATGTTGGAATTTTTGCACAAAAATTCTCCTTTTCTCCTCCCAGTTGGGTGTTCTACTCAGTCACAGTGCAGATTTCATNTTCCCTTCCCTTCCCTTCCCTTCCCTTCCCTTCCCTTCCCTTCCCCTCTATTTAATGAGAATATCACACCCCCCTTTCAAAGTATGCAACCCAAAATATTAAATCCAGACAAATCCAACTTTTTCCTGCATAGTTTTCTTTAATGTAACTGCAGGGTTCTCAAGATAATTGTTTTTTCCATGTAGAAATAATACAAAAAATGTGGAAGTAAGAGTTCTACTGGGTAAGAAATAAAAATGTTGTGAATTCAATTGTGTGTCTATCAAATATGAATTGGGAGTTTTTCTCCTTTCAGTCTGTACAGATTTCTGCTTGTGTTGTTTCAGAAATCAAAGAAAGGCAAGACAGCAGCAGCAGCTTCCCAGCAAGAGCCCTCTGCAGGTGATATTCTCAAATTCTGTCTCACCTTCTGAGTCCTGAAGCTGTCAGGATTTCATTTTTCTGCTTTTTAAAATGTATTTATTTATTTAAATTCTCCAGGTCCTTCAAAAGCTAAGAGTGGAAAGGATTGTGTCAATTCCAGCTCTGGGGAAAGCAGGCAGATAATCTTCACCAAAAGTTCAGGTTGGTGGTTAATCCTGATGTGAAAATGGGGCCAGATTTGCTTGTTTATGTCATTCTAATATTGTTTTAAGTTGGGAACTTGACTTAATGAAATTGGAGATTCTTATTTACACACCCTTGGGTTTGCTGTGTCTGTTTGCCTGGCTGTGATGTAGTGGGGGAGAATTTGCAGTTTCCTGATGTACAGTTGATCAAAAACTATGCTATGGCATTTTATTTGAATGAATTTTGTTTAAAACCCCTGATTATTTAATTTTTAATCCTCTGTTTTACCTGCTGATTTGCTGTGGGATCTTGAGAACACTGGAATAGAACTTTGGGATGAACTGATGAACCTACAGCAGCCTTAAATCCAAACAGTGGTGCCTTCTCTTTATTTAATATTTATTTATTCTGCTGTTTAATTTCCCCAGACTGATATTTTCAAACAGAATAGGTACATCTTTAAAGTCTGAGGTTTCTGTGGGAAGAATTAAACCCTGTACCTTAAAAAATCAGAATAATTGGAAGAATCTGAGAATGATGATCTGCAGATAAACTGGGAGAAGCTGAAATTCCATCAGCAATGCCTGACCTGCCCTCTACTGTCTGCTTTTATACAGGAGAGGCTTGTAAAAATATTTCATCCCAGCTGATGAGAATTGCTCCTGGATGTTGAGCAACCTTGTAATTCTAGTAATATTAATGAATTTTTTTATTTTCTGAGGGTGTAAAAGAAAAAAGTGCTTTTGGAAACTGTTTCTGTTGGGGTTGCACACCTAATTCTGTGAGGATTTGGGGTTGCACACACAATTGTGGGGTTGTACACCTAATTCTGTGAGGATTTGGGGTTGCACACACAATTTCTGGGTTGCTCACTCAGTTCTGTGAGGATTTAGGGTTGCACATCCAATTCTGTGAGGATTTGGGATTAATTCTGTGAGGATTTAGGGTTGCACACC